GCTGGATGAACACAGCAGGCCAAGCAGCATCAGAGGAGCAGAGAGCCTCTCTGCTCCTATGATGCTGCTTGGCCTGCTGTGTTCATCCAGCCCTGCACCTTGTTGTCAAAGATGTTATTAATACAGCTTCATGGGCTGGCAACCCTTTTCACAATTAAATAGCCAGGCCATGCAATTCCTGAATGCCACAGCAACAGGCTTATGGCAGCTTTCATTCTTCTCACTCTCCTCAGCTTCTCTCACATTAGGTGTAAAGCCCAATAACAAAAGCCTTCTTTCTCAGGCAAAGGATTATTCAGATGTGGAATGTGATACCCACATGTTCAGAGACAAAAACAGTTGAAGGAAACACTTAAAAGGGTGTAATTAATCATTTTTATTCATTCATGGGATGAGGATGTCACTGGCTAGGCAGCATTTATTGCCCATCCCAAACTGCCCAGAAGGCAGTTAAGAGTCAACCATATTGCTGTGGTTGTTGAGGTTGGTTGGCTCACCGAGCTGGTTTGTTGTTCCGCAGACGTTTTGTTACCATGCTTGGTAACATCCTCAGTGCAGCCTCTGATGAAGCGTCGGTGTGTTTTCCCGCCTGGCTTTTAAACTCTGGGGTCCGTTGCGATGGATTGCCTCACTTCCGGGTTTCCTCCGTAGTGGAATGTATATGGGGTCGAATTCAATGTGTTTATTAATAGCTTGCTTCGTGGAGTGCCATGCTTCCGGGAATTCTCATGCTTGTCTCTGCCTAGCCTGTCCCAGGATCTTGGTGTTGTCCCAGTCGAAGTCGTGGTTCTCCTTGTCCGTGTGGATTGAGATGAGCGAGTATTGGTCGTGTCTTTTTGTAGCCAGTTGGTGTTCATGTACTCGTTGTTAGTTTCCTTCCTGTTTGTCCGATGTAGTGTTTCTTGCAGTCTCTGCAGGGGATCTTGTAGATGACATTGGTCCTGTTCATGGCGGGGAGTGGGTCTTTAGTTCGGGTGAGCACTCACTCATCTCAATCCACATGGACGAGGAGAACCATGACTACGACTGGGACAACACCAAGATCCTGGGACAGGCTAGGCAGAGACAAGCACGAGAATTCCTGGAAGCATGGCACTCCACGAAGCAGACTATTAATTAACACATTGAACTCGACCCCATATACATTCCATTACGGAGGAAACCCGGAAGTGAGGCAATCCATCGCAACGGACCCCAGAGTTTAAAAGCCAGGCGGGAAAACACACCGATGCTTCATCAGAGGCTGCACTGAGGATGTTATCAAGCACGGTAATGAAATGTCTGCGGAACAACAAACCAACTCGGCAAGCCAACCAACCTCAACACCCACAATCCGAGCTACAAATCTACTCCAAAACCTTAGACATATTGCTGTAGGTCATATGTAGATCAGACCAGTTAAGGATTTCCTTCTCTGAAGATCATTCGTGAACCAGATGGGTTTGTCCAACAATTCGACAATGGATTCACGGTCATCATTAGATTCTTAACTCCAGATTTTTTGTTAAAATAAATTCAAATTCTACCACCTGCCGTGGCAGGATTTGAACCCAGGTCCCCAGTACATTCCCTGGGTCTCTGGATTAATAATCCAGCGATATTACTACTAGGCCATCACCTCCCCCAGTTTGAGATATTTCAGAATATCTCAACCGTCTGTGATTTCTCTAAAATGTAGGGAAATTACATTAGAGGAGAAAACCCCAATTTCAACATGATATTAGCACAGGTATTATGGACCAAATCTATGCTGCGATCTCTATGATTCTAAGTGACTCATTCACATTTGTTGCCAATACCTTAGGTAAGATTGGAAGCTCATGTTGGTTTTGGTCTATAACAGAGGGAAGTGCCACTCTCTTTGTTCTATTGACCATAAACAGATTCAGGTTAAGCTTACCTTCGGCAAAAGTGCTGTTGGATAGGCCAAAAGGATAGCAGCTATCACAACTCGCTCTTTAACAATATAAAAGCAATTAACCAATCAGCAAAATCAATGTGTCAAGGTCAATTATGACTTGAGCAAATTGCTTATGAGTTATAAAATATTTAGCTGCAGAAGTAATTTGAAATGTGTGTGGAATATCAAGGGAAAGGGAACATTTTGGAAACAGAGGGTAAATAAATATCTGAAATCTGTATCTAATCATTGTCTTTCACCTAAACAAAGAATTGTGAATGTGAATGTGAATGTGAATCGTCACACACCAATAGATGTGTTCAGCACATTGCTTGCCAGCTATGATCAGTATAATTCAAAATGGATATTAGCTGCAGGAAAATGACTTGCTGGAAGTCAGTTGCAAAGCCATTTGAAATATTAATGTTGCATGAAGCTACAACTCTTGTATTTCATTGCTAAATGTAAAGGGAGCTGTGACCAGCAAGCAGGGCTCTCTCCAATACATAACACTTCCTGATAAAGATGCATTTGAGTGTGAAGTGAGAGGTTACACATTAGCCTGCATCGATATTTCAGAATATCTCAGCCATCTGTGATTAATGCACAAGAGATAATACTTTGCAAACTGCCTTTGAATGGGGTGGATTAAGTGGGATTCCTTAAGAGTTAAATTGGTTCCAAAATTAACTCTCTATTGAATGGAAATTGGAATCAAAACCTTAATACACAACAGGAGTTGGCACAGTGTAATAAAATAAAATGGATTTATTGCACTGGATATCTAGATAGTGGGAATGGACTAGTTTCACGGGAAACCTACACCGTGGGAATTAAGTAGCTAAGTGGCAGATTTCAGCAGCAAACTATTCCATTACCAGCAGGACATAAGAAAATTAATTAGAATTTTGTAGTACAGAATTTGTAAAAAAAAATGTTTTTGAAGCTTTTTGATTTGAACTCATCAGAACAGACACAAGAATACCAAATTCCAAATAAACTAACAATCTATCCTGCATAAAAAAAAAGTTGATGATTTACGATCAACTTTGATTCGTTGAGGTTTTGCCAGAAATAATGTACCAGGGAACTATTACTGGTCCCACTCATTTGTTTAATTCAAAAAAGGCAGAGTACCTGGACATGATCCTTTTTCACGTCCTTACAGATAAATAAATATACATCTTCCAACAAATGCAAGTGAGCCACTTTATGAGTTTGACCATTAATTTTAAATTAGTGCCTTAATTTGCACTTATTGAAAAATCCTGAACGTGCTAAGAATTACAATTACCATCAATACAACTTCACAGTGACTCGTATCCCAGAGTTAAATTAAGCACTTGACCTCTGAGAAAGGGGTGTTAAGTCAATGATAATCAACCCATTCTTTAAGTGCTACAATGTCACAAAGAATTTACATGCAACTTATGGCAAGTATATAAATAATTGCTTGGTAGTACAGAACTGAAACATTGGTAAAAGGAGACAAGAAGTCAAAGTACAAGGCAAAACGTTTCACGTTCTTGTCCCTTTTAGCAATTCTCAAAGCAACTCAAAGAAAAAGCAGTAACACTTGGAAACTAATGCACCAATTGTATCGGGCCTCTAAGTTGAAGCACACAAGACAAATCAGAGAAGTACGTGTCATTTGCCAGTTTTACTGATTTTTCCCTCTGGGAAGCTAAGAGCAATCTTCTTTCAAAAGGATCCTGTGTCCAACTAACAACAATTAAATTGCACCATATTTTATTCTATCACCAAAGCTCCAACTTCCTATGATGGTAAAGAGAAATCACACTGTACTTACATCAACACAATCATATAGATGTATACACATACATTTACATACATATATATTAATTTGATTTGACTTATTACTGTCATGTGTACCGAAGTACAGTGAAAAGTGTTGTCTTACATGCTTTACAGGCAGATTGTAATACACAAGTGCATCAGGATAACAGAACAAAGTGCGGGATATGGTGTTACAGCTGCCGAGAAGGTGCACAGAGAGATCAACATTAACAGTAAAGAGGTCCATTCAAAAGTCTGATAATATGCAACACATTTACTGTTTCTGGGGAGAGAAAATAACAGCTCTTCTTCATTCATAGCAGTGAACTATATCATTGTGGGTATGTGGGCATTACCTGATTTCCAAAGTAGAATCAGATGCAGTACCATGACCTAGTTTCAAACTTGCAGCCATGAGTATCAGACACTGGAATCCAACACTGCTATAATAACAAATTCATCCACTACTTTGGTACAGCGAGGTTGGCCATGCCTCTGCAATTATCATTAGCCATCTTAATTAAAATGAATTTAGTCTTTTCATTGTTTGTGCACAATTGCATCAATGAATCTTGTTTGGAACCTCACAAAAGCAAAAAACAAAAAAAAATAAATTCTGGCCCAAACTAATAACAATAAAACATTAGAAATTTGTAATCGATTAAATTTGAGTTCAAATCACCCTGCACTTTTAAAAGTCAAGGCAGGGTTGTTTCTGAGTAAGTCCTTACTCACCACAGTAAGTATAGATGAGCTTCGAATCCATGAAGCGTACTTTAAGGTTATGCAGCACTGCTGGCTCATGGAGATAACTGAGAGCCGTGAGATCATTTTCACCCACAAGGATGTCAGGGTTCCGCAGGGGTGGAAGTTCCTTAGTTTGTGGATCAATGTTATATCGAGTTTCCTGTTTTAAAAAACAGCATAACTTACAAGACCAAAATGGAGTGATGTGGATTTCACGCACTAGTTTAGCCCCCAAACAAGCAAAGAGGTACCTTGGTGTTTGGAGTGATAGGACTTCAGCACCTGGTATATTTTAGTCACAGGGATAATGATCTTGAGAAGCACCTTGGAAAGTTTTTCTGAGTTGAAGGCACTATAAAATTGCAAATTGCTGTTGCTGTCAGATAGGGCATATCAGAAATTGCAAAGAAAGGTTCTCCTGCACAGTCAGTACACAATATTATTCAAGTATTCCCAGAAACAGAAAAGAAACACAAGAGAAAAATTTATATAATGCTTGTCACAAAGTCAGGAAATGCCAAAGTGCTTCACAGGCAATGCAGTACTTTTGAAGTGCAGGCACTAGCGTAATATACAAATTCGGGCAGTTAATTTGTACCAGCGAGGTCTCACAAACAGTAATGTGATTAAGATAATGTTAAAAGCAGAAGTCAACCCCCTCCCAATAACTAAAACTGAAACACCTAGAGAAGCTTGCCTCGTCTCAATCTGTTAAAGGAAGTGTAAAAACTGATATAACCTGCCTCTCACCTCCCAATCTGTTATAAAGGAGGGGTTAAATGAAATGAGCTCCTGACCATCACTCTATAATCAACAAGTAACAACTTATTTATCTAACAGTGAACAATTTTAAAGAACTACTAACAAACTAAACAATTCCCCCCTTAACTACCAACTATTCCTGAAATGCTGTTCCAATAGATAGAAGTCCCACAGATATAAACCAAATTAATAAAAAAAAATTTAAAACTTAGTCTCTCAAAATTAAAGCCAGGATATATCTTCCTGAATGTTCTGTACCTTCTCCACTGTTCTTCAGTCAGGAATGCCTTTCTCCATCATATTCTTGTGTCAGGAATATTAGCTAAGAGTGTCACTGTACCTTTAGTCAGATGATAATTTTCTGAGAGCTTAGAGAATTCTGAGCGTGCCAATGATTCTCTCTTTAGGGCTGCTGGTTGTTAACTCTAACAGATGGCAGTTGCTCTCACACCAATTTTCAAACACCCTCTTCTTTTATACACTTGACGGTCTGTTAATTTCTTACAATAGGATTGGGCCTATCTTGTCAAAACCATCAGATTTAAATTTAATTGGTTTTTAGTCTCTAGGTGCCTGTTTTAAATTAATTAGTCGATATTGTCTTGCTAACAAAACAAGACTACTACTGGGTTGCTAGCCATACAATTTTAATGTTTCAATTTCAGGAACTCTGTGCCTGCTGCTGCTCGCAGACATTTTTTTTTAAAAATCTCCAAGTCTAGAAAAAGCATATTATCTTTGAAAGGGACTAGGCACTTTTCTATCTGATCATTTTACAAACAAATTCTAATGTCCTGCCTTCCAACCACAAGTACTTTGCAACAATAAGGTAATCAGTTTTTAGGATACTGGTTGCAGAATAAATGGATACAGGTGAAAAAACACTTTTTCATAAAGTGCCATGTGATCTTTTACAGCTATCAGGGTTGAACATCTCATCTGAAAGGCAGCATCACTGACAGTGCAGCCCTTTAGCCCTGCATGGGGGCCTGTCTAGACTTTACTGCTGAAGCCTCTGGAGCAGAACATGAACTCTCACCCTCACAACTCTGGGACCAGAGTGTTACCCACTAAAATCAACAAAGAAATGCTAACTAAATATCATAAATAATATATCATAGTCAGCTAACAAGTTGCATTCCCACCTCATCAAATTATCAATGAGAGAAAAAATATTATGGTTGGGGCGGCACGGTTTCTCAATGGTTAGCACTACTGTTTCTCAGCACCAGGGACCCGGGTTCAATTCCAGCCTCAGGCAACTGTCCATGTGGAGTTTACACATTCTCCCGGTGTCTGCGTGGGCTTTCTCTGGGTGCTCTGGTTTCCTCCCACAGTCTGGAGACGTATAGATTAGGTGGATTGGCCCTACTAAAAATTGTCCCATAGTATCCAAGGATGTGCAGGCGAGGTGGATTGGCCATGGGAACATCAGGGTTATAAGGATAGGGTGGGGGCAGTGGGTCTGGGTAGGATGCTCTTCGAAGGGTCAGTGTGGACTTGGTGGGCTGAAGGGCCTGCTTCCACACTGTAGGGATTCTAAGATTCTCTCTCTCTTTGGACCAGTTGGAGAGAAGGAAAGTTATTATTGTTACTGCCAATTTTTAAATCATATTTATTGTGCATTGAGATTTCTAATGAATTTCATTTCAATTTCTGTCCTGATACTGAAAGAAATGCAATGGCAACATTCAATTTGAAAGAGCTCAAGCAATACATGATTTGGGTACTTGGTTTAATGATGTCCTGGGGGCCTTCCACTCCATGCTGAGCTGCACAGAATTCCCATACACCACAGACTAACATAGGGATAGAAATGTGTCACAACTGAACTGGTTGTGCAAGGAGAAACTCCTGGACTGAACTGAAAGTAGGTGGAAATTTTCAGTCATCACCCTTTTCTAAGAAGAGTGCATGAAGATCTGGTTCCATTATGTCTCTTCTTTTCACTGCTCCAGCAAAACTACATGGACAACATGTGTTTGCCAAAGAACTACAGTCAAAATTGAGGGAGTATCCTCCAATGAGAGAGATCTTTCAATCTGTAGATAAGTAACAATTGCAATAGGTTTCTTTTTGGCGATCAATTCAATTACGCCATTTATAACCTGTGGTCTGTGTTATTGGCAGAAATTAATACTTGGAGTATTTCGTCCATATTTATTAAAAATGCAGGCCACATGACAAAGAGTAATAAAACCTCCAGTGGCTGAGAGACCATGCTCACCCTCTGTCGACTCAAACGTTAGACATAGATCATAGCCCCATTGTCTGGCCTTTGAGAAGAATATTTTTGTTTTTTGATGTTGAAACTTACCTGAAGACTGTAGTGTAAAAAAAAATTCAATAAGTGAGATTGATTTTTCACTATAGTCTAATGCTCTGCATCCACATGGCATAAAGTTTTCACTCATTTGTCAGTAACTTCCCACTGGTAAAATCCTCACCATTTTTTGGAAGCTTTTGAGTATTATCCATGTCAAATTACTGTACTGTTGGCCATCAACTTCTGTGTGATACTATTACTTGTTAATAAATCAGGTAGCAGAGAATGAATGGCAGTAGGTCAATGCCTGTTTTACACTGGTTTCTGCCTTCCTTCGGAGTGAGGTGGGAAAGCAGAAATCACCCAAGAATCACCTGAATATGGATCCAGGAAAGAGCCTTTGCTAATGGTCCCATCTTAACAAATTTAATGAGTTTTACTTTTTAATCACTAACAAGCCAAGGTTATTGGAATAAAATTATCAGCACTAAGCTGGACAATAGGGCCCATTTACAATGTGTGCGCCAATAAAAAAAAACCTGGCCAAACATGAACTCAACAACCCAGATTGCACTGTGTTGGTAGGAACCAAGCTATTCAGGGTTCAAATTCCATCCCTAGGAGCAAATCCAATTCCTAACCAAAATGAGGTGACGACAACTCAATAACAAAGTCACACACTTATTCAAACAAGATTTGGAAACAATGCAGTATTTGAAAGTCCAACAAATTTACTTTCTAAACTCCTTTAGAAGTTTACATTCTCCCTCAGCAAAGGCTACTGACTGAGTTTGAATTTATTCGAAAAAGTCCTAATCTTCTAACATGATTTTGGCTTTTAATGTTTACATAAAGGAATTTGGGAGCTACAAAGCACTTTGTTGCAGACACAAACAGTTTCCAATGTTGTAATGACAGAGAAGCTCAGGCAGTTGGAAGCATGTGAAACAGAATCCCTGTTCCTTCGTGGTCACTGGGTTAAAATCCTGGAATCCCTTCTCAACAACACTGTGGCAATACCAAGAAAGAATAAAGAAAAGTATGACATGGGGTTGTTCTTTAATCTCTTTGAATCTTATGTTTAACTTAAACCCAAACCAATGGACTGAAAAAGTGACTGAAAGCTGGAAGGATTCAAAGTGAAATATGATTGTACTGTTTCAATCTAATTCCTAATTAGTTCCTAATTCAGGACCAACGAAAATTTGACATTGATTGACAAATATACTTAGAGAACTGAAGAGAAGTAAGAGAACCAGAAAGTCAAGTATATAAAGAATATTCAAGGTAGATGTTTATCATCTGAGATGGACAGGGATTATGGGGAAAAGGCAGGAAAGTAGAGTTAAGGATCATCAGATTAGCCATGATCTTACTGAGTGACAGAGCAGACTGAATGGCCTCCTTCTGGTCTCATATCTTATGGTCTTATAATGTGACACATGGAAAAGGCACAAATTTGCACAAAGATTCCTCTCCTCAAAAACTAGCAGATTCCAAATGAATAAAACCCCAAGATTAGGTTATAACTTGGAAACAAGTCTGGTGAGATGGTACTATGGCTTTAAGAGGTGTATTTTGTCCTGGTTTTTCTTTGAAGAGAGGTTTTGAGCCATAGGCACCGCGCTGTCTCTTCCAACCAATAAAGTAAACAGCTTGAGGGGCTTTGAGGTTTTTTAAAAAATATGGAACAAAAGCATGAATGCGTGGAGTCAGGCTCCCACAGACCAAGGGTTTTAGTTAAGCTTTCAGTAATTGCTGGGGTTTTGATGCTGGTTATTGAAGCTACTACATCGCTCTCTATTACAGCTAAAAACTTGGGTTCTCTTCCTGCTTCCAGAATCGCATGACAGACAATTGTTTTACTGGATTTGCCTTTGCCAGGGGTGTTTATTGGATGTTACTATGTTTAACTACTAAATAGCAACTGTTTCAATAATCTAATATTCTACAATTTCCAATAGAGTTAAATTTATGCCAATTCTTTTGTTTGTGTTTTATCTGGGGGTAAGAATAAAGTGTGTTTTTTACTTAAAGCTGAGAAGTATGACCAATCGAATTACACCTGGAACACAGCACCTCACACTTGCCTTTAAATAAGATAAATGTTAGGGCCTAAGCTATCTCCTTGATATATTTGTTGGAGGTTTGATCTGGTCCATAACACAGGTCAGTTTTATTTATTCATCCATGGGCTGTGGACATTGCTAGTAAGGCACAAGTAGAGATGTACAGTTTGCAGAGGGGGCTGTTAGGAGCCAAACATATTGCTGAGAGTCTGGAGTAACATGTTGCCCTGACTGGATAAAGATGGGCAGATTTCCATCTCTAGACGATATCAGATGGGTGTTACAACAATCAACGATAATTGCCATATTCAGCATTATTGATTTATTAATTGAAATTAAAGACTCACCAGGTACCTTGGTTGGATTTGAACTGATGATCCTCAGAGCTTTGGCCTTGGCCTCTGGATTACTAATCCAGTGACATTATCACCACACCACCCATCTGCCCCCACAAACAGATTGCTGGTCATCACAGAATCCTTCAGTGTGGAAGCAGGCCATTCAGCCCGTCAAGTCTACACCAATCCTCAGAGCATCCCACCCAGACCCACCTTCCTACCCCATCCCTGTAACCCTGCATTTCCCATGGCTAATCCATGTGGGCCTGCACATCCCTGGATACCATAAGCAATCTAGCATGGCTAATCCACCTAACCTGCATATTTTTGCCTGTGGGAGGAAACTGGAGCACCTGGAGCAAACCCACATAGACACAGGGGCAATGAGCAAACTCCACACTATTGCCCAAGGGTGGAATCGAACCTGGATCCCTGGCACTGTGAGGCAGCAGTGCTAACCACTGAGTTACCATGCCATCTTTATGATGGGTAATCATTTTTGTCCATGGTTCTATGTTTGGAAACTCCAAAGTTTCAGCAGATTGGACCATACCCAACTTGGCCGCTTGTTACTCTAGTTACGAAGTTGCTCGAGGCTTTGGGTCCCTCTCTGTTTGACGGATGATGGGCTCTGCCATAGTTCAGCAGTGGACAGGAGACTTGCAAATGCACTGGAGCAACATATTAAAGACCACTACATTTGACAAATCAATATTTGTTTAGGTAGGAAGTAAAGCTCCATTGGGTGCAAGTGATTACCTGACGTTTCTCGTCGCTGCTGCATTTGGAATTCATTACCAAACAGAAGCATCTTTGCTAAAACCCTGTTCAGCGTGAAGCCCTGAGGAGGGATGATATTTGATTTCAATTGGATGCTTTTTAAATACTAACACTTACACGTGCCCAGAAAGCCTGCACTCTGCTTATACACAGAGCCAGTTTGTGTTGTAAATTACCAGAAAAATATTGAATGCAGCTTTTCAAAAACAACAAAAGGTGGTGAAGGAGAAAAGTTTCACGTTGAGCATACTTGGCACGCTGGGTCTAAATGATTTTCTCCATGTTACAAATCAAGTTACAGTTTAAACTAAGAGAAATAATAATAAGGGAAATTTTCTGAAGAAGGGTCCCAATCCGAAACGTCAGCTTTCCTGCTCCTCTGATGCTGCCTGGCCTGCTGTGTTCCTCCAGCTCCACACTGTGTTACCTCCGACTCCAGCATCTGCAGTTCCTGCTATCTTGCAGTTTAAACTTGTTTGCATAGTCACAAAAGTGAAATTTTTATGAACCAGCCCATTCAGGTCAGTGTTTTTAGAGTGCAATTGTTTGTCTTTCTTCTTGGATTAGAAATGTTTCTGTCATGTACTTAGAGAGCAGCAGCATGCTATCATTTTACTAAACAGCTGAAAATGGGTTCATGACAACAAAAAAATAAACACAAGGGCATTCCTCCAGGAATAATCATATTTTAAAATAACTGAAAATAATTTTACAAAATGATACACAACCATTTATTAGTGCCATTGGTGTATGTTCATCAGTTGCTTAGTGAATTTGACAGTTAAAAACTTTTTAAAAGATTTCTGCTAGTTCCCAAGCTCCTAATAAACAGACTCATCTTCAGGGTCCTGTAGCCCAGTGGTAATTTCCCTACCTCTAGACCAGTAAGTCAGGGTTCAAGTCCCACCTCAGGGTGCAATGGAGGTGTGTCATAACTCATCCAAACAAGTTGAATTAAAACCAAAAGCAAAGAGCCTCCTTGAAGGGCTGCAAATGGATAAATCGACAGAAATTCATCACATTCATACCTGATTTAGAGTGTGAGCCAGTTTGTGGACAGAGCTAACTTCCAGCTCAGCCATTTTAAATCAGTGTAAAAGTTTGCCAAATCAATATCCTTGCTGATCTAAATTGTGTCTGAAATTCCTTAAGCTTTTCTGTTGAATCAGAACCACTGTGCCAAAATTACCCTCCCTGATTCTTAAATCTATGAATTCATTATTGCTGTTTCAGCAAAAAGGTCTTGTCTTGGTCAGTGCAAGGGAAAAGGGAATCGAACACGTAGCCCCAATATGATTACTTATGGAGGACAGAGTTTGCAAACATTCATGTCTTTGTTCTGTGACATTCTATAGGAATGAAACTGCACATTTCAAAGTCGGTAATAACTATTCATTTGGCAGACCACTCCTGGGAAAATTGAGGGCTCACATTCGATCACGGAATTAAAACGCAAGGTTTGGAGTTTACCTGCTCATCCTCGAATTTCAGATGAAGCACTGTGTCTCCTGGCTTGTAGTCTTTGAGAAGCTCAGCCGATTTCCAGACATCCTCTGTATCAGGGATCCACACCCTGGCAAACTGCAACACAGAGGAGAACAGGGACAGTTTGAGAATGAGCCCTGTGAAGTAGGAGGAGCTGTTATGTCCAATAAATAACACCTAATTCCATCAGTACACCATCAGATATTCAGTATATCCCAAGACAAACAAGGAAAGCTTCCTCGGGGTTACTAGCTAAGTGACGGCTACTTTCTCAATGTGCACGTTATGCTTGCAGTGTCCCTGAAAGTGGTTCATTCAGCACAATTCTCATCCAACTTAGTTCCATTTGAAGGGATTTGTAACAGTTCCTTTGTCAACAAACCAAACATTTGGTGGAACTGGCTATATGGTTCTGGTCAACGCAAACTGAGACTGATGTGGAAATTAAAGATAGACAAGGTCATGAGAAGTTTAAATTTCTTTTTCCCAAATAATTAGCATTAAACTTACCACGTATTACAGCTTATTAAAAGCAACAGTAATCCTCTTGCACAGTGTTAGGACAAACAAACTCATACAAAGAAACTTCTGGAAGATTCAGTGCAGCTAGTTTAACCAAACATTGAAAACAGAACAAGAAGCTTTAGAGGTCTAAAAGAAAATCACTGTGTGTATTATACAACCTTCTATTAAATCAAAATCACTGAAATCAAACATTAGGCAGCGTAACATGACAGTCTTGTTCTATATATTAAAGCTACGGATCCCAGCTGGGGTTCGTGACCCCCAGCAGTGTCACAGAATGAGATTTTGGGGTCATGAGCTTCAAGCCAGCAATGGCAGCTGTTCAGCACTGACTGAATCACAGCGACTGAGGTCCCTTTGAATGGTCAGACTTTCTGGCAGTGGGCACGGGTTAAACAACTGATTGTCGCTACAACCACCGCCTGGAAAAAAGGTGAGCCTTCACTTTTCTCAGGGCAAAGCCAGCAGTACTTCTACAAGTCTGAAACCCTATCAATTCTGGTCAACAACTCTTTAACTGTTGTATAATCCCAACCCCTTATTTCACTTGGGGGCACACACAAAGTCTGGGGTATTAAAATGGGCTCACATAGCAAAAAGGTTTTGGAAGAACTGCATTTAATACTTAATTTTAACTTATTGACAGCAGGAAACTGCTTTGCCCTTTTCCAAGTGGACTGTGGCAGAAAGTAGAAACTTTCCTTCGAAGAAATACTTTATTTAAAAGTTTGGATATTGAAATAGTGGCATGTTGGTTTTGGACTGTGCCTGTGAGGTGGTTTAACGATTATCTTACAAGTATTACTGTAGCTATGGGGATTTATTTTTAAACACAGTATGAGAGAGAGTTTACTTCCTGGTGAGTGCTGGAGTTTATTTTCATTGGTTGAGTGTTGAGTAAACAGAGTACACAATTGCGCATTAGACTTCAAGTAAAGGATGTGGTATTAGGATTCTTTTTTCTCGTTAGGTGCAAAAAAAAAACCACAGTTGAAAGAAAACTTTGGGTTTCAGTTCAGGGTTTTTAGAAGCCATCGTTGAAGTTAGACATGTTAAACTGTTCCTCTTGAAGAAGGCCATATTTTAGAACTGTTCAGAAATAGGTTACTTCAGTGTAGTGTAAGGAGTTGAATTTTAAATTTTCTAACCAGAACGTTTAAAATCCTGAAAGAATTTTTTGAAGCTATGACAGTCTAAGCTCAGTTGTATGAAGACTCAAGGGAATATTGAGAGTTTTGTTGAGAATAAGAAGGAAGCATATGTAGGTATAGATAGCAGAAATCAAGTGATTCCCTAGAACAGTATAAAGGCAGGAGGAGTATACTCAAGGGAAATCAGGAGGGCAAAAAGAGGACATGAGATAGCTTTGGCAAATAGGGTTCAAGAGAATTCAAAGAGATTCAACAAATACATTAAGCACAGGGGGTAAATAGGGAGAGAATAGGGCCCCTTAAAGATCAGCAAGACTACCTTTGTGTGGAAGTGCAGGACATGGGGGAAGATACTAAACAAGTATTTTGCAACAATGTTTACTGTGGAGTAGGGTATGGAAGATAGAGAACGTGGGGAAATAAATAGCGATATCTTGAAAATTTTTCACATTACATAGGTGGTGGTGCTGGACATCTTAAAACACAAAGGTGTATAAATACCTGGGACCTGATCAGGTGTACCCTAGAACTCTGAGGAAAGCTAGGGAAGTGATTACTGGGACCCTCGCTGAGATATTTGTATCATGGATAGCCACAGGTGAGGTGCTGGAAGACTGGAGGTTGGCTAATGTGGTGCCACTATTTAAGGAAAGTGGTAAGGAAAAGCCAGGAAACTGTAGACCAGATAGCCTGATATTGGTGGTGGGCAAGTTGTTGGAGGGAATCCTCAGGGACAGGATTTACGTGTATTTGGAAAGGCAAGGACTGATTAGGGATAATCAACATGACTTTGTTTGTGGGAAATCATGTCTCACTACCTTGATTGAGTTTTTTTGAAGTACTACCAAAGAGGATTGAAGAGGGCAGAGTGGTGGACGTGATCTGTATGGACTCCAGTAAGGCATTCGACAAGGTTTTTCACGGTAGACCGATTAGCAAGGTTAGATCACATGGAATAGAGGAAGAACTAGCTATTTGGATACAGAACTCGCCTGAAGGTAGAAGACAGAGGGTGGTGTTGGAGGGTTGTTTTTCAGACCGGAGGCCTGTGTCCAGTAGTGTGCCACAAGGATTGGCGCTGGGTCCACTGCTTTTCATCATTTATTTGGACGATTTGGATGTGGACATGAGAGGCATGGATCGTAAGTCTGCAGATGACACCAAAATTGGAGATGTAGTGGACAGCTAAGAAGGTTACCTCAGAATACAATAGGATCTTGATCAGATGGGCTAATGGGACAAGGAATGGCAGATGGAGTTTAGTTTAGGTAAATGTTAGGAGCTGCATTTTGGAAAGGCAAATCAGGGCAGGACTTTTACATTTAATGGTAAGGTCCTGGGCAGTGTTGCTATACAAAGAGACCTTGCAGTACAGGTTCATAGTCCTAGAAAATGGAGTCACAGGTGGATAGAATCGTGAAGGCAGCATTTATTGATCAGTGTGTTGAGTATAGGAGTTGAGAGGTCATGTTGCAGCTGTACAGGACATTGCTTAGTCCACTTTTGGAATACTGGTGCAAATCTGGTCTCCCTGCTATAGGAAAGATATTGTGAAACTTGAAAGGGTTCAGAAAAGATTTACAAGGATGTTGCCAGGGCTGGAGGGTTTGAGCTATAGGGAGAAGCTGAATAGGCCGAGGCTATTTTCCCTGGAACATTGGAGGCTAAGGGGTGACCTTATAGAGATTTATAAAATCATGAGGGGCATGGATAAGGTAAATAGACACAATGTCTTTTCCTTGGGGTGGGGGAGTCCAAAATTAGGCAGCATAATTTTAAGGTGAGAGCGGAAAGATTTAAAAGGGACCTAAGGGGCAATTTTTTCACGCAGAGGGTGGTGTGTGTATGGAATGAACTGCCAGAGGAAGTGGTGGAGGCTGGCATAATTACAACATTTAAAAAGGCATCTGGATGGGCACATGAATAGGAAGGATTTAGAGGGAGATGGGCTAAATGGTGACAAATGGAACTAGATTAATTTAGGATATCTGGTCGGCATAGACGAGTTGGGCCGAAGGGTCTGTTTCCATGCTGTATATCTCTAACTCTATGAAAGGCTATCAGATTCTCAGGACTGGGAATTAAAGCATCCAGTTAAGTTAAATCTTTCAGATCTGATACAGAAGGGAATTCTGTCTGGTGTGAGCACTCTAAAAGGATAATGCTGGGATGAACGGTGTAGTGATTGGAATGAGGCCAGCGAGATTGGACAAGGTTGACAGACCCAGTCAGGAAACCCTGGCTGACAGATATAAACGGGAGCATTCCCTGTGGCCATACTAGTCTGAAAACGCCTGATCTCGTCTGACCTTGGAAGGTAAGCAGACTCAGGCCTGATTAGTACTTGGATGAGAGACCAATACCAGGTGCAGCAGGCCTTTTCCGCCAGTAGTGGCCGCTCACGTCATCTGTCTGCTCGTGTTCTGCCATGTAATGAAGTGGCAGACTATTTTAGCAACGGGCCATGGAGGGGCTCATTTTGGTTGACTCCTGCCCCTCTTCCGCGGCCATGTTCGAGCCTGGGTGTCCTTGGAGAGGTGGGCACTGCAGTGGGTGGAGTGCTTTATTTCCTCCTCCGACTCTATTTTGATTTGAAGCCGTACCCTCCCCACTTCACTTTGTTTTTCACATGAGCGTTGCCCCTGCCAGGCTTTGCTTGTTACTGGTTCCCTGGCCACATGGGTGTTTCGTCTGGTGGTAGAAGTGCTGAATAAAATGATTTTTCACATGGTGTTTTTATTGAGTCTTCGCACTTACACACACCACACGGGTGTTGTGGGGAAAATAAGGACAACTGCTGTATAGCAGTCGTGTAGGGGTTTGAGAAAAGAAAAAGAATTAAAATATAACCAGGAGTTCATAGGAAAATATATAAACAGAGAGTGTCAGGAGTTCTGTTCACTCAGAGCTGGCTCTGTTATCTGGGTCAGTGTTGTGCACCATGCAGATGTCACCAAGTCACCCTTTGTAATAGGATACCAGCCTTCATGGAGTTATTTCAAATGGGATAGAATTTTGCACTGTGTTTCAAAACCTTTAAACTTGTGTTATAATGTAAATACGTTGGTTTATTCCATTCTTCCACTTCTTTTTACATAATATGTATGTTTTATTGTTGAAGCTAATTCCACACCATTGCATGCTTACATTTCAGAGAAAGACAACCTTGTTAAAGCAAAAAGAAGATCCATCAAGAGATAGTAGGAACTGCAGATGCTGGAGAATCCGAGACAACAAGGTGCAGGGCTGGATGAACACAGCAGGCCAAGCAGCATCATAGGAGCAGAAAGGCTCCCGGGTGAAGGGTCTGGGCCCGAAACGTGAGCCTTTCTGCTCGGCCTGCTGTGTTCATCCAGCTCTGCACCTTGTTGTCTCAGAAGATCCATCCACCCAGGTTTCAGTCTGGGATCTGACTTGTCC